GTGGCTATTACGGTCCCCATTTAACTATATTTTGCCCTAAAAGAGTACACCTTCCCTTGCAATTCCTCAGGGAAAGTTGTTGCCATTGCCTGTACTCAGTGGAGTTCTAGGTTATGGACATCTTGTTCATCTCTGCTCCTGGGATCACAGTTTTAAGCAGAGCCGCCAGCTTCTCCCTGAATCATGTGAGAGGAAGGGCTTGATAGATATGTATTTTCCTTTTTTCACTTTTGTGATTAGAAAATACATATGTCCACATTTCAAGTGCTATCAGTTTAGGCCAATTATATTTCTCCTTATACTTGAATTTGGCAAACTTTCTGTAAAGGGCCAGATGATAAATATTTCAGATTTTTCAGGTCATGCAGTATTGCAGCTATTCAATGCTGCTGTGACAGCAGCACAGGCAATGTGTGAATGGACGAACGAGGCTGTGTTCTAATAAAACTTTAGGGAAAAGACTACATAGTTCACCCAGTGTGGTTCCCTGAGTATAATAGTAAAGGAAAGAGATTGGCATTCAAACAAACCTGTTATAAATAACTAGGGTTTTTCCAAAAGATAGCCTACACTGTAAGACCCTGAAATTCATATAAAAATTTCAATGTTTTTCTCAGACAACTGCTTAGGAATGACAGGTATCAGTCTTCTGATAAGTAGTATTCAAGATATACTTGCTGAATAATTGAATAAATAAATGATGCCTTTGACTATCAGTTGTCTAAATCTAGCAAGATGAAAAAGAAAATTGCAGAGGATTTTTGTGTCAAAAAATCACTTTTTTTTATTAGCTCAATATGTAGTCTTTTCCTAATTTTTTTAGGGGTAAGAGAAACAAAAGGTCATCTGAAATCTATGGCTGTGATAGGTTATTTAGGTTCTGGCATATGTATTTCATGTAAGATTATGCAAAATTAGCCCAGAATAATGCCAACTGTGAAAGTAAGGGAGAGCTTCTACTATCCTTTAGCAACTCTACAGTACAGTAAAACCTCGGTATAATGGACTAATTTGGGTGAAGAGGTGTCCATTAAAGCCAAAAGTCCATTATATAATAAAGTAGGTTTTCCGCATGCATGTTAAAAAATTGACAAATTAGTTTACCTGTTTTTACTTATGTAGACATGTTTGTGTAATTATGTATGAAAAGTTTAATTTCACAGAAAAGTTTTCTATATGTATCACTGTAATTTAAAATTTACACTGAATGTGTCTGTTACAAGCATGTCAGACTCATGGCCCACGGGCCACATGCCTTGTTTATTTGGCCTGTTTTAGCCTTTGAGTTTGACACGCTTGGTCTAGTAAAGGCATGCATACACCAGTCACTGTGAGTAAACAAATGCACATGCCGGGGCGTGGCTTAGTGCACATAGGAACGCTAGCACTTGTTCAAACTGCTGCAGAAAGTCATGCCTCGTGACAACAGAACCAATTACTGGGCGCAATGCAGGGGGATCATAAGCTAATCATTGGATGAACATTGTTTGGGAGTGGTGACTCTTGGATTTAAATATGTAGACTATAGTTGTAGATATGTAATATTTATATGGGCAAAATTACTAGTTTTTTCCCAACATATGGCCATTTCACTACAATTTGTTAAAAACAACCTGTTAAGCCCTAACCGGTTTGGCTCAGTGGATAGAGCCAAAGGGTCCCAGGTTCGATTCCGGTCAAGGGCATGTACCTTGGTTGCGGGCACATACCCAGTAGGGAGTGTGCAGGAGGCAGCTGATCGATGTTTCTAACTCTCTATCCCTCTCCTTTCCTCTCTGTAAAAAATCAATAAAATATATTTAAAAAATAATAACCTGTTAATTTAATTACAAGCAAATCTTGGTTAAATGCATTTTTAAAAAACAGGGTGTTAATTTTCACATATGACATACGGACTGGAAATTTTGTCCATTAAATCCGAAGTCCATTAAGTCACGGTCCACAAAATTGAGGGTTCACTATATTAGGGATGAAAAAAAACACGACTCAGCTTTGTCAGAGTTCAAGTAGATAAAACAACGATAAAAGAATCCAGTGTTTCCAAGAAATCCAACATATCCTGTGATAAAATAACAAAGAGATGACATTGCCGTGACTCCAGACTCATCCAAAACCAATGTGTGGTAAAGAATAAACCGTTTCAATTTCTCCTTTGGATGTAAGACCTAGACCAGCCACCACTGATTTAAGTTTCCTAAGCCAACCTTCAACAGCATCTGCTCTACATCATGCCCAACAGAATACGCTAGGATAGGGCACCAGCTCGCAAAGCCTTCCAGGAAACCGCTGAGCGGGACAGAGGATCGAAATGAACCTATTTCATAATCAGATGACATTTCACCCTCATTCTCTCACAAATGTAGTACAGTGGAGTTTCCCAAAGTCTACATGACATGCTAGCATTCCAGTTATGAAAATCAACCTGCTTCCTGTTTAGCCATAAAGATATTTGCAAAAATGTGCTCTGGCCTGTGTTTCTAAGTGGTTAGAGCATCTGTCCATGCACTGAAGGGTCGAGGGTTTGATCCTTGGTCAAGGGCACGTATGGTCACTGGTATGTTTCTGGGTTGCAGGTTTGATGCCTGACCCCAGTCATCAGGAAGAGTGCAGGAGGAAACCAACTGATGTGTCTCTCTCACATCGATGTTTCTCTCTCACTCTCCCCCCCGCCTTCCCTCCCTGCCTCACACTCCCTAAAAATAAACAGAAAAGCCCTAGAAGGGTCCCGCATTTGATTCCTGTCAAGGGCACATGCCCGGGTTGCAGGTTCAATCCCCAGTGGGGGGCATGCAGGAGGCAGCTGATCAGTGATTCCCTCTCATCATTGATATTTCTATCTCTCTCTCCCTCCCTTCCTCTCTGAAATCAATAAAAATATATTTAAACAAGTAAATAAAAGTCAATAGGAAAAAATATCCTTGGTTAAGGATTAACAAAAAAGATATTTGCAAAAATGTAAATTATGCCACTCTTTTTGGGGGGGGAAATCTTTTTTATAATGATTGTTTAAATCCAATGGGTTTATTGTCATTTTAAAGGAAATTGTTGAAAATTTTCTTAATTTGAATTTCAAATAGGATAAATACAAAAAAATATAACCCACATACACAAAAGCTCTTTGGCATTCTCAATTTTAAGTGCAAAGGAGGTTTGAGACCAAAAGCTTGACAACTACTAAAATCAAGAGAAGCAGCGACGCCTCCGTGGCAGCTGGCGGGAAGCCATGCGCAGGCCGGCAGCTGTGGGACAGGCTCGGGGAGAGTGCAGCATTGCAGAGCCGCCAGTGAGATTTTCTGCTGATAACCAAGACAAAGTCTGAAAACGTGAAAAGTCCCTACAGACGGCAAGTGACAAATAGCAGAGTATGCTGATGGGTGTCAGGATAAAAACTGGTTTTAAGACCAGTGCCTGTTATACTTGCATGTTATCTTCTGAATAACACTGCTGGGAAGAAGAAAAGCTATCAAGATTTCAGAGGCCGGCACTTACAGACCATATTCTCAGAGCTTAGCAGAGGACTTGCACACAGGAAGAGCTCAGTATTTGTTAAACGAATGAATGACTATGTAAGTTGTGACGTTCCATGAGGTTGGCAACAAAACGGCTCCATCAGGAACGGCTGAGGTGCGTGGGAGCCTCACTGAGCCCAAGAAGCCGCCTCTCCTCTTTGCCTCCCCACGATCCTCGTCCCTTTCCTTCCGAAGTCTAAGAGATGTTACGAGCAAGCATCTCGTCTCCAGCATCTAAACTCAGTATGACCTAACAGAACTCTTAAACTTTAACTCCACATCTCCCTCAAAAACTTCCTGACACCGAACCGGGTTGGCTCAGTGGATAGAGCCTCGGCCTGCGGACTGAAGGGTCCCAGGTTCGATTCCGGTCAAGGGCATGTAACTTGGTTGCGGGCACATCCCCAGTAGGGGGTGTGCAGGAGGCAGCGGATCGATCTCTCTCATCGATGTTTCTAACTCTCTATCCCTCTCCCTTCTTCTCTATAAAAAATCAATGAAATATTAAAAAAAACACAAACTTCCTGATCTGCTTTTTTCGGCTTTCGGCTCAGAGGCGGCGTAGGTACAAGCTCCTTCTTTGCTGCCTCTTTTCCCACCTAGTTCTCAGTGCAGTGTCCACTCCCATCTTCTCAGAGGCCTTCCCAGGTCACTGCAGCTGAGCACCCCTTCCCATCAAATGTTTACCACATCACCCTGGCTCCTTTCTGAAGAGCACTCATAACCTGAAATCAGCTTGCTTGCTTGTTCACTTCCTCCATGAGGGCAGGACCATGATTATCTTGTTCATCACTGTATCTTCTATACTTAGAAGAGTGAGAACAATGCTTGTCCCGTGGCAGACATTGTTACACATACATACATGTTACAGAACCCGTCCTAGACGGCTTGGCTCAGTGGATAAAGCGTCAGCCTGTGGACTGAAGGGTCCCAGGTTTGATTCCGGCCAAGGGCACATGCCTGAGTTGCGGGCTCTATCCCTAGTAGGGGGTGTGTAGGAGGCAGCCAATCGATGATTCTCTCTCATCATTGATGTTTCTATCTCTCCTCCTTTCCTCTCTGAAATCAATAAAGAAATTTTTTTTTAAATGTTACAGAACCTTAGAGGTGACCTAGTCCTAAGCTTTCCAAAGCAATTTAATAGGCAAGCAACATACGCAACTATTCTCCGTATCAAATTTTACCACTAATCTTGACTTCTGCACTATAAAGGGTCTTCATTTCTTAAAATAACTCACATGTATTAACAATATTATGAAGTACATATTCTTTTCTAACAGTGCTCAAAGGTTTATAAAATATACCAGGATCCTCTGATGAAAAACTGCAGCCAATTAAGAATTTTTTGGACTAAGTAGTACTATAATAAGTATTTATTCAATGAATGAGATTTTAATGTTTCTATCTGTGCAGTGTTACTGAAGAAATATTCTTTGGCTTCAAATAAGGCAATACCTTTGAAGTTGCAAAACTCAAATTCTTACAAGAAAACAAGAGTAAACGGAAGTTTTTATTAGTGAAATAAGTAAATTTATATTTCCAACAAGGCTTTTATCCCCTATAGATGAGACAAACTACAATACTTTAAAACAACATAACTTAGTTTTTTAATATTTTCAAAACGAAAAGATTTCTTTGGGAATTTAGGAAAGTAAACATTTGGGAAAAAATAACTATAGGAAGTTACTTTTTTTTCTTTTAACTTTATTGTTGAAAGTATTACAGGAAGTTACTTTTTCAATTTTAATAATAGGTTGGTCTACAAGATATATTAACCAGCATTTTTCCTCTCAAAGGATCCATCAGGTACTAGACAACGAAGAACCTACCTTTAGAAAATGAGGCAGGAAAAGTTTATATTTAAATAGGAAACGTACACTCTAAAATTCCACTCACATGTCACTTTAACAAGTCAATCTACATAATTAGATATAAATTATTAATTACATTTATGTTGATTAAGGTCCTAGTAAAGACTACATTGGTCTGACTGTATCTCAAGTTCGAACTGCACTCCTCTGGCTATAAAAGTAAATATAACAATGGAATTGGGCCCGTTTGACTAAGGGGAAAAAATATCTTCAATATTGCACATTTTCTTTCATTAAAAATGAAGTTTATTAAGTCAGGGCCATCTTGGTTCTGAATCTCTCCATTTTTGTTGGAAGAAGACTCACCATCTCTTTACTAAGTTCTAGCTCCACTTCTATTTCCTGAGCAGCTTCGGGGTGCTTTTCACAGTAATCAACAATAAATTTGTAATGTTCCAAGGATGTTGCCAAATTTTCTAGCTCTTTTTGGGGATCTGAAGTGATGATTTTGCCATAGAGACGAGCAACTCGAAACTTAGCCAACATGGCAGGGCGAAGCACGTCTTCCCCTATATGCTCAGGAAACACTTTATTTGGGTCTCTCAGGGAGTCTAGGAAGAGCTGGTAGTACTTCATTGCTGACTTATTAAGATTATTTATTTTTTTTACGATGTGTGAATCGGGATCCCTCAGCTTGTCAGCAATGGCAACCTTCAAATCCATCATATCATAGTAAGCATGTGCAATTTCAAACTGAATCTGTCTGTTGACCAACAGATAATACTGTGGGTTCAGATCCACAATTAGGGGCTCTAGCATGGCTATTCTACGTTTATGCATCTTGCACCGTCTCTCCATGTCAGTTTCAAAGAACGCAAGCACTTTAAACAGAGCACTGTGGTCTTGGACAACTTCAATATGGTCAGTGACATAACCATCAATCTGAAAGAACTCTTTTGCTTCAGAGACATAGTGCTGACCCAGTAAGAAAAGTCCTCTGGCTTCTTCAAAATCTAAAGGTCTCAGGTAGCTCACTTTCTCTTCCACCGCAGAGATGGCATCACAGAGCTCACCGGTTCCAAACTGCACAGCTTTCTTCCTGACGCTTTCTTCCTCATCGAGTTCTTTTTTCCTTAAAGCTCTCAGTTCAGATTGTTTATCAAGATCAAGTTCTCCTATGTTGTCCTGAAAGAAAAAATAATTATGGGTAAGTAAGGTACTGATTTCCTGCTGCCAAATAATATTAGAGCAAACTGAAGAGTAAAAAAGAGA